ATTGTTCTCCCATCTGCCCCGTTTCTCCACTTCCCTCTCCCTCCCTGTATATTGCCCCCCTCCCCAGCACCCAAGCTCTCCTGTGTCCAATCCCAACCCTGCGCTCTGCCCTCCCCCACAATAAAATTTTTTTAATAACAAATTTCAGTTTTTTAAGCACTACAGCATATTTTTTCACTAAAAATATTTAAATAGTAAAACGTGAACCAGGAGCCCTGTTGGTTCAGTGGTTAACGCATTGGGCTGATAAACAAGCAGTTCAATCCACCAGTCACTCTATGGGAGAAGATATCGTAAGTAATCTATTTCCATAAAGATTATCAAAATACCAAACCCACTGCTACCACGTTGGTTCTGACTCACAGTGACTCTATACAGGGTTTCCAAGCCTGCAAGTCGTTATGAGAGCAGACAGCCTCATCTTTCTCCAGAGAACAAGTGGTTTATACCACCAACCATACAGTTAGCAGTCCAACACCTAACACGCAGCACCAACACAATCTTGGAAACCCTACGGAGTAGTTGTCCTCATGGTATGGAGTCACTGAGTCAGAAATGACTGGATGAACAGTAGAGGGTTTGGTTTTAGTTCTTGGTAGGAAATGAAGGAACCTGGGTGGTGCTGTGATTAAAGTCAGCAGTTCAAAATCACTAGCCATTCCATGGGAGAAAGACGACTACTTCCAAAAGTAGGGAAGTGCTACTCCGTCAGTTTCAAAATAGCACACATGAACTAAGGTACCCTTCACATTTGACAATGTTAGCTACCAGTCTCAGGAGAATTATGTATTATGAGTTATTTTTTGACAATGATAGCTAAAATAAAATCTGTACCAACAAAAGGAAGCTAACTTGCCCAATATAAACAATGCCTTTGACTTCTTAAAAAATGTGTTTTTCTCTCCTGAGCTAACTCTAGCCACTGAGCCCATAAGAACTGATTCTTACTAGAAACTTGGAAGAAAAGGTGCTATTTCTAACAGAAACTATTCTTCTGCAAGGAGTCTAAATTCTCTAGACAGCCAACAATCATCTAATTTGCTTTCATAACACAGGAACACAGTTCAAAGGAAATAAAGTCAAGAGAATACGCAGCACTAATAAAAGAAAATCATCACTATGAGGTTGGAATGCACTCCTGGTTAAAAGCTAAGGGTCTACTTTTTTGTTGTTAAGTACTGTAGAATCAGTTCAGACCCATAACGACCCTGTATAGGGTTTCCAAGAAGCGGCTTGTGAGCTTGAACCACCAACCTTGCAATTCAAACCAATCTTGTGGACCAGCACATTAATCCACAGAGCCATACAAGGATTTAAGGGATGTTTCCCATTGAAATAATGTTATAAAAATTCCAATTTGTAAAAGATCACAAAAGTTTTCTTAATTTACCTTTATATAACATCCATACAATGATAAGCCCATTTTGGTCACTGGTAGTCAACTTCTGATACTGTTCATTCCATGTTACAACTTGAACAGAACCTGGAAAAATATAAAGCAATTGTTTAAACTGTATTTTAAAAACTACATTTACTTTCAAATTCATATTTTTACATACGTTAGTTATCACCCTATTTAACTTGCTGTTGTTGTTGTTGTTGTTACTGTTAAGTGCCGAGTTGGTTCCATTGAGCAACCCTATATAGGATTTCCAAGGAGTGGCTGGCTAGTAGGCTAAGTGAAGATCATCAGGCCTTTTATCCTTGTCTTAGTCTGGAAGCCCTACTGAAACCTGTCCACCCCATGTTGATATTTGAAATACTAGCGGTTAGCTTTCCAGCATAATAGTAACACACAAGCCAGCACAGTATGACAAACTGACTGATGCATGGTAGCAGTGCAATTTAGTAAGAGCTCAGCTGCTAGCCAAAACGTTGGCAGTTTTAACCTACCTAGTGGCATCTGTAAAGATTACAGTCTAGAGAACCCTTGCGGGTTCACTATGAGTCAGAATCAACTTAATAGTTCCTACCAACAATTGTTTGTTGTTGCTATGTGCCATAGAGTTGGTTCCGACTCATAGAAACCCTCTATAGGGTTTCCAAGGCACAGCTGATGAACTTGAACCACCGACCTTACAGTTTAAGCCAAACTTGCAGTCCAGTACATTAACCTGCAGCACCATACCAGTACTCCCTAACAACATTACTCTTAAAATACCCATAGGATGTAGTTACTGATATTATTAATTTCCACAATAAAACAATGTATAATACAAATTCTCATGTTTGGCCCTATAACATGCCAGCAAATGCACCTATTAGGGCCAGTTGCACGAGTTTCCATACAGCTGATGAGAGAAACGAATGTAAGCACGATCTATACCCAATTTGTGACCTAGTTGGCCTGACTGCCAAGGATCAGGATGACCAAAGACACTGTGCTAAGTTTTTTTGGGTTTTTTGTTTGTTTCTTTGAGTCTGTGTCTTATAACCTCTCTTTTTTCAACCTTGTTTTCCATTCCATTAGTAACATACTCTTGGGCATATTTTTAACCTCTTGATTATATCAATGATTAACTTTTATTTCTAAATGCTCTAGTGTGTATTTCCTATGAATAAGGACATTCTTTTTCATACCCACAGTACAAAATAGGAAATTCAACACTGAAACAATATATCTAACCCACTGTCCATATTCAAATTTTATCAACTGTCCCAATAATTTCCTGTACAGTTATTTATTTTCCTCATTCCAAGATCCAATCCAAGATCAGACTGTCCTTTCTATCATTATGTCTCTGTAGTTTCCTTTAACCTGGAACAATAGGATATGCTCTAAAAAAAATTATATATCCAGAGACAGAACATTACTTATCAATATATAAATTAACAGTTTTATTCAGATTTCTTGGGAGTATTGCTTAATCATATGAAAGTTGTTAAATTACTCTACCGTTGTTGTTGTTAAGTGCCATCGAGTTGGTTTCAACTCATAGAAACCCTGTATAAGATTTGAACTGCTAATCTTGAGATTAGCAGTCACACCAAGACCCCAATATAAATATGCTTAAATATATATCAGGCTATATATGTATTAACTGTGGCTCAAAGAAGCTGGACTAGGGACAGGAGTAAAGTCTGTTCTAGTTTTCAGGGTTATAGTTAGGTTTATTTTTATTTATTTATTTTATTGAAATCTATTTGGTTTCCTATTAGTGTTAAAATTCTATAACTACATTATTCCCCTTTTTACATGTTTTTTGTTGTTGTTGCTGTTACAACTGTATCTCTGGTCCTCTATTTTCAGTCATATAGGAGTCCTAGTGTGGCACTGTAGGATGAACACTGAACTGCTAACCACAAGGTCAGTGGTTCAAACCCACCAACCACTCCTCAGAAACCCTATACAGGGTCATAGGAGTTAGATCTGATGCGATGGCACTTAACAACAAAACAACAGGCCTGTTTTACTGTGCACACTTCTTTATCTGGGTTATAGAAATCCTGGTGTGGCAATATGGGATAAAGCACTGGATGGCAAGGTTGGTTTGAACCACAAGTTCAGCAGTTCAAACCCACCAGCTGCTCCTTGGAAACCCTATACAGGGTTGCTATGAGTTGGAACCAACTTGAAAACACTTAACCACAACATATCTGGGTTGAGTCTAGGAGATATTGTCATGTATGTTAGTCTCACGGTTGTCTGCTGTTGTAAGTTCTCTGTCCAAAGAATTCCCTTTAGTATTTTTAGTAAGATTGGTCTGGTTTTCACAAATTCTTAAATTTCTGTTTCTCTGAAAATGACCTAATTTCACTGATACATTTGATGGGCAGTTTTACTGGATATATGATTGTCAGTTAGCTTTTTGTTTTTTTTTCTTTAAGAGTTTTATACACATCATTTCATTGTCTCCTTGCTTACATAGTTTCTGCTGAGAAATCAGAGCATAGTCTTATTAGTTCTCCTTTGCAGGCAACTTCATTTTTCCTGAGCTGCTCTCAGGAGTCTCTCCTCAACTTTGGTTTTGAAAAGTTTTATTATAATGTGTCTTGGTTTTTCTTTTGGGGACTATCCTGTCATTCAGCTTCTTGAATGACTATCTTCTTATCTTTTATGATGTTAGGGAAGTTTTCTTCTAACAATTCTTGGACAGTATTCTCTATGGGTTTTTTGTCTCGTCCAGTTCTAGAATTGCAATCACACGTAAGCTATTTTCATGATAGTGTCCCATATAAATCTTAGGTTTCCTTTGGATTTCTTTTGTTCTTTTTTCTGATAGTTCCTCTAGCAGACAAATAATGAGAGATTTTTCTTCAAGCTAAGTAATTTGGCTATCCATTGATTCAAATCTATCTCTTTACCCTTTCAGTGTATTATTTATTTCTGAAGACTTAATGTTAATCTTCTGGCTTTCTAATTCTGTTTTTATATGGTTCTCATTTTTTCAATTATTTTGTCAGTTTGATTCCTGAATTTTTTCACAGGTTTGTCTATGTTTTGCTTGATTTCATCCGCTGAAGTTTCCTAATTAGCATTCTTTTAAATTCCTTATCAGATAGCTCTGTTGCCATTTCTAGTGGTACACATTATGACTCTGCATTTTGGTCACTTGTTTGAGGTACTCTGTCTTGTTTCTTTTGTAAGCTGCAATTGTCTGCTTTCTCCTAGATCCTGTGGTGTCATATTCATTTTTAGGTCATAATTGCATATTGCTGTATTCTCAAGCACTTACCATCTGCCTCCTGGTGGATATGGTAGAAAGTGGAAGTGTGACTGCAGTACTCTGTTCACTGTTTGTGAAGCAGCATAGCTCAGAGTGGGCTCACATGCCTCCAGAAGCAGGGATGCTATGCCACGCATCCAACTCCAGGCAGAGCCAAGGCTGCACAGGACAGGGTACCACTGGCCACTGGGTTGTGAGACCAGGTCATGGCCCTGGCATGGAGGGCACAGGAATCCTTGTCTCCAACCTGCAGCCAAGTCCTGTGCTTGCAGGCCGCTGTATCAACAGCCACTCACAAAAACTCAAGATGGCTGTGCTGCTCTATACCAATCCACAGTTCAACTGTTTTTCTTCTCTCTCATTGCTCCTGTTCGCTTTTCTCTTCCATTCAGCACTCAGTCCACCTCTCTGTCATATCCTCTGATGCTCAGGGTCCCAGGATCACCATCTGTATCTGTTTAACCAGGTTTCTTTGTTACAGAGGGTCTACTTGAAACAATAGAGCTCCTTGAAAACTCAGACTTCAGTTCCTTGAAAACTCAGAATTTCTAGAGCCAGCACAGCTCCCCTGGCCTTGAGACAGATAGGGCAGAAACAAGCCTCACAGATGCTGTTTATCTCCCTCAGGGAGATAAAACAGGCACAAACCTCACAGATGCTGTTTATTGTGTGATTATGAACCCGTAGGCATTCCTTAAAGTAATCAACTTAACTATGTACCTCAAAGATCCTGGCACCAATGTGACTGATTTGCAGCCTTGTTAGTCTGCCTAAGTAAACTGATACATAGTTTTGTTATTGTACCTATCTATGTAAACTGATTTGTAGCCTTGTTGTCCTGACCTTGTTGACTGTTATCTAGTCTCCTTATTAGCAAACTAACTTGCTACTTTTGCTTCTGTACTCCCTGCTTCAGCAAATTCCTTTAGATAAGCCCCTAGACCCTAAGCCAGGAATGTAGCCTATATAAACTAGCAGGCAGCTCCCTGCAACACGGCAGTCTTAGGAGAAGCTATTGTCTCCCTGCAGTCTGGCTATAGCTGTCTGTTGTGCCAATAAAATTCTCTAAATTGGGCATTATAGTGGTCATCATCCTTCTTTGGGACTTGAACCCATAAGAGACTCAGTGCATCTGCTCACTCAGCCACATAGCCCCAGACTAATCTACAAACTTTTTGAAGCCCCTCATATGGTCTAAAACTGCTTAAGGTAATACTACTCAAACATGATTTAAATATATACATATATAGCATGACTTACCACTGTGACCTTCGAGAGTCTGATTCATAGAAAGATTACTAGGGGCAGCAAGACCCCTCAATTTTGCATCATCTAAAAAAAAAAAACACAAACTTTTCATAATTTAAACATAGACAATATTACATATCTTTGTAAGATATTATCCTAGTAAAATCGTTTTTTAAAAACACATTGGTTACTCCTTCATTTTGTTGTAATTAAATGCCATCGAGTAGGTTGTGACTCATTGCAACCCTGTATAGCCTGGTGAGTTTGAACCACCAACCTTTCAGTTAGCAATCCAGTGTTTATCCTACAGTGCCACACCAGGATTTCTTATTTACTTGCTGCTGCTGCTGCTGCTGCTGCTGTTGCTGCTGTGACCCACTGAGTTGGTTCCGACTCACAGCAACCCTGTATAGTTTTCCAAGGCTATAAATCTTTACAGGAGCAGAAAGCCTCATATTTCTCCCATGCAGTAGCTGGTGGATTTGAACTGCTGACCTTGTGGTTAGCAGTCCAACACATTACCTATTGTGCTACCAGGGCTCCTTCCTTGTTTACTTAGCATATTAAATATATTAATAATAATTCTTACTACCTATTTCTCTCTAAATGATCACAAATACAAATATTTATGGCATGGGGCACTGTGGGTTAATGCACTGGACTGCAAGGTCAGTTTGAACCGCAAACTCATCAGCTGCTCCACGGAAATCCTATACAGGGTCCCTATGGGTCAGAACCAGTTCATGCCACTTAAAACCAACAACAGCATAGATTTAAAACTGCAAAAGAATACGAGGAGTCAAATAACACTTTGAAAACAAGTTTTTACTAGATTTTACAGAATCTCATATTCATCATCCATTTACTCATTCAACAAAGAAGTCATCTGATAAGGCTATATGTTTGTGAGAAGAAGGCTGGCTTGCAGAGGTGCCTTTAGGACATTTAAACGAATATGCATTTTTTGTTTTGTATCTGTACATCAAATATTTTTTCTTTGTTCATTTATGAAATATAAGATGTAAACGGGAAGCCATAAGGAGTAAGTAGGATGACTGTTGTTGCAGGGGATTGTAATTATGGAGATGAAACAGAGTATACAATTTGTTAAAAGCTGATCATCTTGCCTGTAAGCCTTCACTTAATTCACTATAGTAAGTTAAAATCATATAATTCATATGATGTTTACATTCAATGATCTCTGAACTTTATTGAAAAAATACTCTAGAAAAACACCATCAAATGTTTGGATTTTTTTTTTTTTCCTTTCAAATGAATTGGACTTGCCTAATGACAAGTTTGTTGTTATTGTTGCTATGTGCCATGGAGTCGGTTCCGACTCATAGCGACCCTGCACAGGGTTTCCGAGGCTGTAAATCTTTATGGGAGCAGAACGCCTTATCTTTCTCCCGCGGAGCGGCTGGTAATTTCTAACTTCTCACCTTGCGGTTCGTAACCACTACGCTACCAGAGCTCCTTCATGAGCATATCTCATGGGACTCGCCAATTTTCCATCAATTTCAAACATGTTGGCTTAACGTTCATTTACCTGTCTGGGTCTCTAATTTCAACACTTTCAGTAAACCATCTTCACCACCACAGGCTATGAATCCTTGATCCTTGTTCCAAGATACACATTTCAACTTCACATTATTTGGAATGGCAACCTGAAAAGCAAGTACAGCTACTCCAGCAACTTCAACGGGCAGTAGGGAAGTGCCTACAAGAGATGGAAGCTGAAAATCCCCCTGTTAAAGAGAATGAGCAGTTTCTTGAGCTGTTCCAGGGTCCTAACATCTGAGAAAGGGGTGCACAAACAAGGGCAGTGACTGCTAAGGAGCCCAATGGGGACGTCATCTGATGAGTAAACGCGGGAGAGGGAGTGTGGGCGTAGGTAAAATCGAGACAACTACCATATATTTCCCTTCCACACACGATCCTTTTCTCTTGCCGGTGGTCCAAAGAATTTAAGTGACCTGGATTAGCAACAGGTGGAGAATGAAACACAGAAAAGCATTTAGTACTACTATCTTGCTAGGTCCCCAGAAAGACCTAGAGAAGGGCAGGAAAAGAGTTGTACAAGAAGTCCCGTGGCTCTGTTAAGGACTGAGACTCAGGTAATAGTAGGAGGAGGTTCGAGGCTACACCAAGCAGGAAGGTTGGAAGCACGACGGTAAAGATGGTGAAGAATCCTAGCTTCTCCGGAAGGATGCGGGAATCGCCCGCAAGATACAGGTATACAGAGGGAGCAAAGGCGCACCCTGGAAAACTTACTTTCTTGGTCAGGTAAAAGAACATCCTGGGAACCCCCGAAAAGACTTATCCAGTCGTCAAGGTCTGCGACAGGTAACTCGTTTCTAAATCTCTAATCCAGACTCCAGGCGGCTCTTGAAGTTGCCGTCTCCCTGGCAACCGCCGCTTACGGCCGCATCCGGGGCGCGGAAGGACACTTCCGGTATCGATCCCTCTCGGAGAACTGGAGCACCAGAACGCAGTTGCGCTTGCGCAGATGCTGCACATGTACATGGTGATGGATTGCAGGACAGAGGCTGTGATTGGGCTTGGTCACTTCTCCTGTAGAGTTTAAGGCTTGAGGCACGATCAGCGATCTGCTACCGCCAGCGCTACGCACGCCTGAGGCGACTGCCCTGCCTTGCCACAACTGACCGCTCAGCGTGAACAAACTCTCAGGAGACGCAACACCTTTGACTGCCATATTTTAACTGCGCCTGAAGTATTAATGTCAACGAAACAACAACAAAGAGTAAAAAGGCACCCGTTAAAATGAGGTCACAATGATTTGGTATTTTGCCAACCCCTTAGTTCCAAGGCGCTGTAGAATAAGCTCTGGACTGCTAACCTAAGGTCGGTGATTCAGCCGCTCCCTGGAAATCCTTCCATGAGTCTGAACCTACGCAGCACATAACAACATAGTCCCAACATGCTTAAAAGAGAAAAGTCAATTACTGAATTCGGATAGGCTGGCTCCCACTGCCTAATAAAAGTCTAAGTGCGTGGTCTGAAATTTTGCATACCTAAGGATTTGAGAACTCCAGCGATTAAGGGGTGGAGAGTTTTGTTTATTGCTTTTTGTCAGTTTATAGAAACTGCCACCACAACTATTGTTGTTGTTAGGTGCTGTCCAGTCTTTTCCAACTCATAGAGACCTTTTGCATTGCAGAACTAAACACTACCGGGTCCTGTGAAATCCTCAAAATCTTAGTTTTGCATGAGCCCATTCCAACTGCCTCTGTGATAATTATTCTCCTTGGGGATCTTTGCGTTTTACGCTCTCTACCAAGCACGATGTCCTTCTCCAGGGACTGGTCCCTCCTGAAAATATGTCTGAAGTGTGAGAGACAAGTCTCACCATCTGGCTTCTAAGGAGCACTCTTGGCTATACTTCTTCCTACACAGATGTAATTTTTACTTCAAAATGTCCATGGTAATTTTAATATTCTTCTCCAACACCATAACTCAAATTCATCAATTCTCCTCCGGTCTTCATTATTCATTGTACAACTTTTACATGCATATGAGGCTTTTGAAAATGCCGTGGCTTGCGTCATGCACACCTTAGTCCTCAAACTGACATCTTTGTTCTTGACCACTTCAAAGAGGCAGATTTGCCTAAAGCAATACATCATTTTATTTCTTGACTGGTACTTCCATGAGTGTTGATGGTGGATTCAAGCAAAATGAAATCTTTGATAACTTCAATCTTTTCTCCATTTATCATGATGTTATTTATTGGTCCGGTGGTGAGGATTTTTGTTTTCTTTACATTGAGTGCATGAAGGCTGTGGTCTTTGATCATCAGTAAGTATTTCAAGTCCTCTTTGCTTTCAGTAAGCAAGGTTGTGGCATCTTCATGTCACAGGATGTTAATGAGTCTTCCTCCGATCCTAATGCCATGTTCTTCATCATGTAATTTAGTGTCTCTGATTATTTGCTCAGCATACAGACCAAATAAGTATGGTGAAAGAATACAACTCTGGCACACATTTTTCTTTCTTGGTTTAAAACCATTCCGTATCCCCTTGTTCTGTTTGAATCACTGCCTCTTGGTCTATGCACAAGTTCCTCCTAAGCACAGTTATTCTCTGCATTGTTGTTCTTAACTTGTCATGATCTACACAGTTTTAAGTCTTTGTGTAGTCAATAAAGCACAGGTAAACACCATTATGTTATTCTCTGCTTTTAGCCAAGATCCATCTGATGTCAGCAAGATATCCCTCATTCTACATCTTCATCTGAATCTGGATTGAACCTCTGGCAGTTCTCTGTCAGTATACTGTTGCAGCCACTTTAGAATTATCTTTAGCAAAATTTTACTTGCATGCATTATTAATGATATTGTCTGATGACTTCCACATTCTGTTGTGTCACCTCTCTTTGGTAAAGGGCAAACATATGGATCTCTTCCAATCAGTTGGCCAGGTAACTATCTTCCAAATTTCAGTTTGTTGAAAGATTTGTGTTATCAATTCCCGGAGCCTTGTTCTTTACCAATACCTTCAGTGCACCTTGGACTTCTTCCTTCAGTATCATTGGCTCGTGACCATATGCTACTTTTTGAAATGGTTGAACATCGAGCATTTCTCTTTGTACAGTGACTCTCTGTGTCTTTCTTCTATCTTCTTTTGATGCTTTCAACATCATTCAATATTTTGTCCATAGACTCCTTCAATACCGCAAGTTGAAGCTTGTATTTTTTCTTCAGTTCTTTCAGCTTGAAAAAAACTGGAAATGGTCTTTCATTTTGGTTTTCTATCTCCAGGTCTTTGCATATTTCATTCTAGTACTTGACTTTGTCTTCTTGAGCTGCCATTTGAAAAATTCTGTTCAGCTCTTACCTCCTCATTTCTTCCATTTGCTTTAGAATCTCTATGCTGAAGAACAAGTTTCAGTGTCTCTTCAGACATCTATATTGGTCTTTTTCTTAATGTTCTTAATGACTTTTTACTTTTTTCCTGTATGATGTTCTTGATGTCATCCCACAACTCTTCTGGTCTTTGTTATTTAGTGTGTAAATACCAAGCATCAAATCTGTTCTTGAGATAATCTCTAAATTCAGGTGGGATATGTTCAATGTCATACTTTGGCTCTCATGGACTTGTTTTAACTTGCTTCAGCTTCAACCTGAACTTGCATATGAGCAATTGATGGTCTGCTTGCCACAATCTGCCCTTGGCCTAGTTTTCCACAGATGTAGTCGATTTGATTTCAATGCCATCTGGTGACATCCATGTATAAAGGCATCTTTCATGTTGTTTAAAAGAGGAATTTGTAATAAGTCAATGGTCTTGCAAAATTCTATCATGAGATCTCCAGGATTGTTTCTGTCACCAAGGCCATATATTCCAACTAGTGACCCTTTCTGTTTTCAACATTTGCATTCCAATCACCAATAATTATCAATACATCTTGACTGCATGTTTGATCAGTTTCATACTGAAGAAGTGTGTAGAATTCTTCAATTTCATCCTCACTGGCTTTAGTGGTTGGTGTGTAAATTTGAGTAGTAGTGGTATTCACTGGTCTTCCTTATAGGCATATGGATATTATACTATCACAGACAGTGTTAGACTTCTAAATAGATCTTGAAATGTTCTTTTTGATGATGAATGTGACACCATTTCTCTTCAATTTGTCATTCCCAACATAGTTAGCCATGTGATTGTCAGGTTCAAAATGCCCAATACCAGTCCATTTCATTTCACAAATGACAAGGATATCAATTTTTATGCATTCTGTTTCTTCTGTTTCATTTTTGACAACTTCCAATTTTCCTACATTCAAACTTCATACATTCTGTGTTCTGATTATTAATGCATGTTTACAGTAGTTTCTCATTTTGAGTTCTGCCTCATCAGCAAATGCTGTTCCCGAAAGCTTTACTCCATTCCCATTATCAGGCTCAACTGTACTTTGAGAAGGCAACTCTTCCATATTTTGAGTGCCTCCCAACTTTAGGGGCTCATCTTCCAGCACTACATTTGACAATATTCTAGTACTATTCACCATGTTTCAGTATTCAGTACTCTGGGGTTATCTGGCATTTTAAAGGAAAGTAACAATATGTTTCATGTAATGTATACTGTCTTGGTACATTTAAAACATTTTTTGTTATTGTTTCTTCCCTTTAAATTTTATATTTTAGGATCTTTCTGGGTTTACTTATGTTGGTTATATTCACTTTTCAAGAGCTTACATTAATGTAACACTCATCATTTTCTCTAAATTTGGATGACTTCGTATTACTCCCTCCCTAAATTTACAGTTTTAGCCTTAAGAGTGAGAGCTTAAGCCTGCCCTCCAACTGCTTCTATGGACAATGAAAACTGGTCTGTAGCACTGTATCTAACTTAAGGTGACCATTAGAAAGAGCGGGTGCCTCTGAAACATGGCTCACAATCGGAAGAGCTCAAAGCGCACATCAGGTATAAGAAAACAAGAACCAGAGTGTTCTGGAGGTCACAATGAAGGGTTATTTTTAATTTAATATTAATATTTATATATTTTCAAATAAATAACACATTTAAATGGATGGGGTCAAAACTAAAATAGGATAAACATGAAAGTAAATGAGCAGGCTTCAAACAGTGCATGGAAAAATTCCATTATTATTGGGGTTCATTGGCCACCCCAGCTGGCTGCTTTCTCTCTTCAGTCTATGGGCTGGCAGTGTGCTCATCTTTTAAAAGTCCTTTCCCACTCATTCCCCCCTTTTGGTGAGGTTTCTGTGAGGTATGTCAGGTGGTCATCCTGCAACTTAGTGGCTTCAAATGTACTCTCCTTTGGTGTGGTGTCTTTTGGGGCCAATTGGGTGAAATGGAAACTAATAGTGCAACTGTTTTGATACTAAAAATTGGCAAGTGTCTTTTTATTTCTTTCTTTTTAAACAAATAAAGAACCAGTCCCCCCAAAAAAAGTCCACTGTCTTATAGTTACATTTTCCACAAACTTTTCAAAGCCTCTCATATAATGAAAAAGTCTTCCTTGTTCCTCATCTGCTCAGGTCCCATCCCCTGCCCCAGAGGTAACTACTGATTTTAGTTTTCTGATATATGCTTCCAACATTTATACATATATAAACATATAATAGGAACCTGGATTCTTTTTTCATTCATTTTTAGTACACAAATGGTAGCATAGTATATACATGTTCTGCATCTTGTCTGTTTCCCTTAATAATCTTTCTTGATGATATTTTCCTATCTATCTATCTATATATATATATAGTTTTCTCATTTAAAAAAAAAGAATGAGTGCTTAAGTTATAGGAAAACTTTCAATATTCTGTGATTTGACAAGAAACTGTCACATAATCAAAGCAACTATCAATTCCAACTAAATATGTTTAGTAGACAAAACTGATATATTAGTCACACAAACACACAAATAGGCATGACAGTAATATATTAAGATAATAATTGGTTTATTATATTAAAGATAATACAAGCCAAAAGAAAAATTTAGCAGTACACAATTTAAAGGCTATTTCAATTTTAAAATTAAAAGCTTTTTAATACTGAAAGAATTATTTCTATTAAATATATGAGTGGAAAAGGATAGGCTTTTTTAAAAAGACAATATGAGGTTCTGTTGCTTGTCATAATGATATTTATAAATAGATAATTTTATTGATTGGTTCCTACAGCAAAAGCATTCAGTAAATTTAGGAGTTTTTAATCCTTGGTAAAATAGTAGTAACACCTTTAATTCACAACTAAATCTATGTTCTTTACTTGTGCATGTCTTTCTAACATCAGAATGAATTTGAAATGACATATAACAGTCACTTAATCTGTGTTACTATTTTTTAGATATTCATGTGGCGCTGTGGGTTAATGCGCTGGACCTCAAGGTCGGTTTGAACCACAAGGTCAGCAGTTCAAATCACCAGCCACTCCTCAGAAACCCTATACAAGGTCGCTATGGATTGGAACCGACTCAATGGCATTTAACAACAACATACTGTAGTCCCTGATCACAGCTTCAGTTATACTCCAGCAAAAGTAAGCCAAAAAAAGCATTAAACTAAACAGTTGTAAATGTTGTTCACCTCAATTTAATCATATGAACTTTTTAATGGGTAAATATTTTGTACAGTTTATGCTTCCATTAAAAAAAATTGACTTAGATTATAAATACTATTAAAAGAAATTAAAAGTTTCCATTGTGAATATGGTTCCCTTAGTAATATAAACATTTAAAAGTGAAATGGTTCAATTAGTAGATTAAAAAAAGAAACCTTAAACCTTTCATTCTATTTCCTACCAATCATTTCACATTTATAGTTTAGATACACTTAAGATTGTTCTTAATAAGGATCTGAACATGTTCTTCCTTGGGGAGAAAAGATAAAACTGACTCAACTGAAGATCCTCTTACTATTTATCCAGTATTATTCAAGCATTTGTAATGACAAATTATTATCTGGTGCATTGGAGATACTCAGTAAGTATGAAAAACATGAATGATTATTAGATACGTCAAGCTCTCCATGTTGCCAGGTGAAATATGAGCAATTTAACGATGTACTTGTCCATATTCATTTACTTGCAACTTCTCCAAAATGTCATCAAGTGGCTCATTGTTAAGGTCAACACCATTTATTTTTACACATTAAAATCATTTTGTAAATTTTTTATCATTTGGTAATTGATATCTGCTTGACAAACCATCTTAAAATTTTTTGTTACTTTTACTACTGGTCACTTTGAGTATCTTCCAACAAAAGAATGCATAAAGCATGAATGCTAGAGAAGCAAAATAATAACATATATACTTAGCCATAAAATAGAATGTAGAAGTGAGCATTTTTATTTTAAAACTAAAGTTAAAAGCTATTATGAAAATATCGTTACCTAATTTTGTTCACAAAGTATATAGAGTGAATAAACCTCTGGATAGTTTTTATAAATTGAAGACTTTCAAACACTCTATAACACAAGATGAAAGGAAATAATTAAGCTGTGGGTTAATGCAATGGACTGCAGAGTCAGTTTGAACCCCAAGGTCTTTGGTTCAAGCTCACCAGCCGCTCCTCGGAAACACTGTACAGGGTCGCTATGGGTCAGATTCGACTTGACGGCACTTAACAACAACAACAATTGTAAGTAAAGAAAAAGAGCAAAATTATGTAGTTACCAAAAGTCTAATCTAAAACAGGCATTCTTTTCTTCAAAGATCATGATATAAAGTAGCAGTCTTTAAACATTTTTGCTCCTACATTCCCTAAAATAATTTTGACAAATTTAAATGTTCTCTTGCACATATTTAAATTATAGGAAACTTTCATCATATGCTTACTTTAATAGTAGTATTAAGAGTATGTAATTTCTGGTTATTTATAAATATTGACTCTTTAAAATAAAAATTTCTATCAGTCCTTCAAATGTATCCCATATAAGATTAACACTATACCAATTTTGTACCTAAGGTCAGAGAAAAAGAGGAAGACCCCCAACAAGATGGATTGGCCAAGTGGCAGCATCAATGGGCTCAAGAGTGGCAACAATTGTGAGGTTGGCCCAGGATCGGGCACTGTTTTGTTCTGTTGTACATAGGGTCACTATGAGTCGGTACTCGATGGCACCTAACAACAGCAACAAAAATCATTCATTTAAGGAGCTCTGGTGGTATAATGGGTTACACGTTGGGCTGCTAACTGCAAGATCAAGAGCTTGAATCCACCAGCTGCTCAGCAAGTCTCCCATAAAGATTTACAGCCTCGGAAACCCTACACAAGGTCTCTATGAGTCAGAACCGACTCAAAGGCACACCACCACCACCACCACCATTCATTTAAAAGTCCTTAGTAATCCTAGTGGAGTCCTGGTGTGGCGCTCTAGGATAAGCACTTAACTGGTAACTGCAAGGTTGGCGGTTCAAACCCACCAGTCACTCCTCAGAAATCCTATACAGGGTTACTATAGAACTACTGGTTCCTACAACAGTTAACAACAACATCAAAGGAGTCTGGTGGTGCTGTAGTATAAGCAGTGGACTGCTAACCACAAAATCGGCAATTAAAACCCACCAGCTGCTCCACAGAAGAAAGATGAGACTGCTCCCATAAAGATTTACAGCCTTGGAACCCCCATGTAAGGTCTTTCTGAATCAAAATTGACTAGATGGCATTGGGTTTGGGTTTGCATTATAGGTGGTGTAAAGTTTAACGCTGGGCTGCTAACCCAGAGGAGCCTCATAAGAAAGAAACTTGGTGATCTACTTCCAAAAACACAGCCATTATAAACCCCATGGAGTCCTGGTATGGCACTGTGGGTTGATATGCCAGACTGCAAAGCCGTTTGAACCATAAGGTTGGTGGTTCAAGTTTACCAGTTGCTCTTTGGAAACCTTATACAGGGTCGCTATGGGTAGGAACTGACTCGACGGCAACATAAACAACAACAACATAAACCCTATGATGCACAGTTCTACTCTGACACACATGGGATTATCATGAGTTGAAACTGACTTGATGCTAACTGCTTTTCTTTTTATCCTCTATTTAAAATATAGTTATTTAAAGTTAAAATTTAAAGTTGAAATTTTCTTTCTGTTTTCCCCATTAAATTGTATTTGTATTTTGAATCCTGGAAATCTTTTTGTAATAGCTGTATTATATTCCTCAAATACAATTATATAAACAACAATTAATTTTCTATTACCATAAGACACTTAATTTTAAAAAAAGTCACCTGAATTGTAAAATCATTATATTTATAATTGATATAAACAACAAATTGCTAATTTAACCCAAAAAAATCATTTTTTAAAAAAGGTAAATTTTAATTTAAAAGGCATCTTTTAATGTGATGGATTGAGGGAGCAGCATTCATGAAATCTTGATTAAAGGCGTTGTTGAACTGTCCTTTTGGCTATCTGGAGATTTACTTTTCCAGGAAATGTACATTAGTTTGAGAGTAAAAGGGATGCTTTTTGGAAAGTGGTAACACTGAGCCGGGAGGTGAGAAAAACACTGTATATTTGTTGTTATTGTAAAGTGTGGTCAAGTCGGTTCCAACTCATAGCAATCCTGTATAGGGTTTTTGAGGAGCAGCTGGTGGGTTGGAACCGCCAACCTTTTGGTTCACTGTCCAGTGCTGATCCTACAGTGCCACACCAGAAGCCCAAACACCATATTGTTGTTGTTGTTGTTGTTAAGTGCTGTCAAGTTGGTTCCAACCCATAGCAACCCTGTATAGGGTTTCTGAGGAGCTGCTGGTGAACTTGAACCACCGACCTTATTAGGCAATTCAATTCAAGGAAGCAAAAGATTTGGCTATTGAATCTTTAAAACAGTCTGGGCCTCATGCTCGCTAAGGTTTTCTAGGACCTGCCTCCCACAATTTGAATGTCACTTCTATCAGACACCCAGGAGCAAAGTTGTTAACTTAAGCTGAAAAAGAAGTTGTTGTTTTTGTTGTTAAGTGCTGTCGAGTCGATTCTGACCCATAGCGACCCTGTATAGGGTTTCCAAGGAGAAGTTTGCAGTTCAAATGACTTTGTAGTCTGACAGTGCCGCAGCGCCACACCAGGACTCCGAAAGAGAAGTACTTTTCCTAAATTACTGCTTCAGCTAAAGAACTTAGATTGAAATTTGCTTTTTGACCACTGTTTGACTATTTGTCTAGCCAAAGTATGCAACAATATCTAATTTATCACACCCCATTAATCGGCTAGCTTGTGCTGTACTTGTACTTGATCCCAAACTAAGAAAGCATATTAAGGAGTCGAAGCATTATTGTTATTGTGAAGTATCGTCAAGTCGGTTCTGACTCATAGCAAACCTGTATAGGGTTTCTGAGGAGCTGTTGGTGAGTGTAAACCAGCGACCTTGCAGTTCAAATAGACCTTGTGGTCCAGTGCATTATCCTACAGTGCCACACGAGGATTCCCAAAGCATGATAGCTCCATCTAGTATGTAAGAACTCAAATTAGGAGGATATATTGCTATGAGGCTTGATGTGGCGCTGTAGGATCAACACTGGACTGCTAACCACAAGGTTGTTGATTCAAACCCACCAGTCACTCCTTGGAAACCCTATACAACATTGTTATGAATCAGAACTGACTCGATAGCATTTAACAACAACAGCATTACTATGAAAAAGCACATAGGAAAGAAATCGTTTACTTGCTTTTATACATAGATATTAAGTGAGTGGAATAGTCTATTTAAAACTTTTTAAAGGAACCCAATTTTGTTTTTAAAAAAAGTTGTGTATTATTACTGCTGGTCAAAATTTAATGGGTAAAGCACATGTCTTGTGGAATATCCTGTTTGGACAATGTTTGGCTCAATTGTAGTATGTAACTAGGCTTCAAACAGAAGCAGAAAAACTACCAGAAAGGATATGTTTTGTGTTCAGTCTCTGGAGATATGAGCTGACCTTCTCCTGGAATGCCAGTGTGGCTTCACACCCACAAGCATCTTCCGTGGAAATGAGTCTTCGTGCTTCTTCAATGACTGAAGAAAATGACAATACGTAAAATATTATAGCTCATAATTAATTATAGCAAATCAGAAAATCTCTAAAACTTACATACACACAACAAAGATACAGAGACACACACACAGAGGAACACAGAGATACACACCACACAAACAACCCTCACGGAGGCATAGGCATGGCACAGTTATAGGATGCTTATGTAGAATCTAGCCACCAAACCGATCAGAACCCACGACTCTCTTCTGGGGATTGTGAATGTCAACCAGATCCCATCATGGAGAGGAAAGAAACCAAACAAACTACTTTTAAAAGGCTTCCAAAATAGGCTGAGTCCACTGCCACTTGCCACATGTCTTCATGCTGGTCAACGTGGTTCCACAGCCAGGACCGTTGAGTCTTGAGACTGGTGGATGCCCTCTTGGCACTGTAGAATAAGCACTGGAGTGCTAACTACAAGGTCAACAATTCAAACCCACCAACCTTTCTGTGGGAGAAACATGAGGCTGTCTGCTCTCAAAGATTTACAGGCTCAGAAACTTTATAAAGGGTCACTGTGAGTAAGAATCAAGGAGTTCTGGTAGCATAGTGTTTACAAATCAGGCTGCTAATCTCAGGGTCATCAGTTTGAAACTACCAGCTGTTCTGTGGGAGAAAGATGAGACTTTCTGCTCCTGTAAAGATTTACAGCCTCAGAAACCCTGTACAGGGTCACTATGAGTCGGAACTGACTCCATGGCACATAACAACAACAACAACAACAACAACAACAACAACGTGTAAGAATCAGCTCAATAGTAGTGGGTTTGGTTTGGGGAGTAAATTTTTCCAAGAAATAAACAGAAAGAGGATAAAATACTTTGAAATGCTAAAGGCACAATAAAAAGTACAATAGGAGACACTGAGAATATACTACAATTGTCAAAGCTGGGTGATAGGTACATGAAGGTTCTTATACTTTTATGAATGTCTGAAATTTCCTGTGGTAAATAGTAAATTTTTAAAAAAGATAATTGGTGTAGGGAGAAGCCAAGCTTACAGACACTAAAAAAAACAAAAACAAAAAAAAAACCTTGTGATACTGTGTCCTCATTAAAAAGGAAAATGAGGAAAACAGTTTTCTGGTTTTATGGCTAAAATATTCCAAAAATAAAAACAACAGGACTACTGATTTCCTATATAGGACTGTTATTCTACAGAATGGTTTGAATTGAGAAGTATAAAAGTTAAGGTTTGTGTTGATTTTTCAGCAAAGATCATGGGTGATGGATCATGCTAATTCCAATTTATTTCTGTAATTCATTGAGGCAGCAATTCCTATTCAACACTACAGCCTTAAAGCTGCCCAAAGCAATACAAATTGAAATCTTTCAATAAACTGATTCTACTCTGGAGGTGCTAACTCATCTATGACAACCAATGCAGAAGACAGCTGGCTAACAACTTGGAAAAGATCCATAATTGTGCCAATTCCCAAGAGAGGTAACCCAGAGGAATGAGGAAATCATCAAACAATGCCATTCATATCACATACAAGTAAGATTTTGCTGACGATCATTCAAAAACTACTGCAACAGAGAGAACAAACAAGATGGTGGATCGGGTGGATGTGTAGTAAAGAGCTCCACCAACAACACAGAATACCCAACCAAGCAGGCTCAGAGGATGATCCCAGAACTCTGAACTATATATAAAGGAATATGCAGAAGGTTGGAAGGCTCACAGCTGGGGAAATTTGCAGCAGAAGCAAGAACTCTATTGCTTTCTAGTCCAGGACGCTCGGCTGCTCCAGGAGCCGCCATCTTGGATGAGACCAAGCCGGGGGAAGGATTGGAGTGGCCACAGACGCCTGGCAGGTCTGATGAGATAAAGGTGTGGACATTCTTCTCTTTTGGTATCTGTTCATTGGTCCCTTGCTGTCTGAGCACCTCCATTCTGGTGACTATAGAGGTGCCTGAGCTAGTAGGTACTCCAGCCCCAC